TGTCCCTCTCCTCTCCTCTCCTCTCCTCTCCTCTCCTCTCCTCTCCTCTCCTCTCCTCTCCTCTCCTCTCCTCTCCTCTCCTCTCCTCTCCTCTCCTCTCCTCTCCTCTCCTCTCCTCTCCTTCTCTCCTTTCAGTTCGAAGTTTTCTCCGCGGGTATCGACGGTCGTGTGGTCCACTACAGGCGCATCATCGAGGCAGCAGACGCAGACGAAACAAGTCCAGCTGTCTTCAGCTGGGTTGTTGCTGGAGCCTCCCGCTTTCACACACACGACATCCGCTGCCTGTGCCTGGCCGGATCGTTCTTCGCTCCCTCCTCCAAGGACATCAACGGCAAGTATGTCCCCACAGCCGACCCCTCACACCCGCATGCTCGGGAGGCGGCAAAGCTCGACTACAGCCGGCTGCATCGATGCATTGTGAGCGGAGGGGTGGACACTCAGATGTGTCTGTACACCTACGAGCACTACGATCACAACAAGACCGTCAAGCTCGCCCTCGGGAAGGGCAAGACAGCCAACGCCATCATGGCATCCATCCGCCTTCCTCCTTGGCCAGCCCAGCCGTGTGTGGCAGTGAGCGGGAGGGTGACGGTGAAGGAGGGAGAGAATGGGAGGAGCGGGGAGGGGGGGCACAAACATCAAGAAGTGAGGATGTTGTCATGGCAGTCAGACGGACTTGACATGTGGAGATGGGAGGTATGACCCCTCCCAACCCTCCTCCTCCTGCTTGCCCTACCCCTCCTCCTCCTCCTGCTTGCCCTACCCCTCCTCCTCCTCCTGCTTGCCCTACCCCTCTTCCTCCTCCTGCTTGCCCTACCCCTCCTCCTCCTCCCGCTTGCCCTACCCCTCTTCCTCCTCCCGCTTGCCCTACCCCTCTTCCTCCTCCCGCTTGCCCTACCCCTCCTCCTTGTACCCGCCCTGCTCCCTCGTTGCTCCCTCCCCCACCCCTCCTCCTCACTGTCCCTCCAGGTGACGTCTCGGGGATCCGTCGGCTCTGACCGCGAGTGGGTCGAGGAGCCAAAGTATGCACTCAGAATCAACACGCTTGCCAACGACAACATCTCTTGCGCCTCCATCTCTTCCGACGGCCGCAGGGTGGCATGTGGACACAACTCTCGATTGTCGCTCTATGACGTCAGGACCATCCATGGCTCCCTCGACGTTCGGAAGCTGAAGCTCCCCAAGAAAGTTGGGGAGAGAGGAGCGCAGGCTGTTCAATTCCTCCCCGACTCCACTCGGCTCGTCGTTGTTCAGAGCTCTGGAGATGTCTGCATGTTGGACGTGAACACTCTGGAGATCATAAGAAAGTTCTCCTCTTCTTCTTCTTCATCATCATCGTGCGAGCAAGCTGGGATCGTAAAGATGGCACTTAATGCCGAGGGGACGTGGATGGCAACATGCGATCTGGGAGGAAGAATCAAAGTCTGGTCACTAGCTGAGGAGGAGGAGGACGACGACGAGGTGAAGCCCGTTGAGGTTTCGAACCTCTCCGGTGGGGTGACGGCGTTGCGATTTCTTCCTGAGAACGCAGCTGTAAAGGTGAGGAACGAGGAAGAAGAGAAGGGACGAGAGAGGCAGGAGGTAAATGAGGTGTAGAGGTCCTGGGCAAATACATCGAGTAGGAAGAGAACACATATGAAGAGCAGACGAGGACGAGGCGAGGACGAGGACGAGGACGAGGACGAGGACGAGGACGAGGACGAGGACGAGGACGAGGACGAGGACGAGGAGGTGGAGGTGGAGGACAAGGAGCAGCAGCATTTGGTGGACATGAAGAAGAAAATAACGTGCTCGCAGGACTCTCTCGTCATCGCAACCTCCGACAACAAGGTTTTTCTCTACGATTTAAAAGATCAGGCGCTCACCAACATCAATGTAAGTTCCTTCTTCCTCCCACTCCCCTCCTCTGTTCTCTTCCCTTGATCCTCCCCACCCTCTCCACCCTCTCCACCTCCTCTCGTCCTCCTCTCTACCCCCTCTCGTCCTCTTCGCTTTACTCTCCTCCCTCCTCCTGTTTCTTTGTTCTTGTTCCCTTTCTCTTTCTCGTTTGCTATGCACTCTCGCTATCTTCCCTCCCTCTCCTCTCTGCTCCTCCCTTCGCTGCTCCTTTTCCTCCTCATCCTTCTCCTGCTCCCGCTGTAACCTTGAACGTGTTCTCATGATACAAGCAGGACGGACATGCGGGAAAGAGAGGGAACTACTTCTCCGGGTACTCTCATTCTTGCACTGGAATTACCTTCAATCCAACCCAACCCAACAGTATGATCCTGTGGGGGTAAGACATGCTTTCCTGTTCTGCTCCCGCCTCCTCTGTTGTCCTCCTCTTTTCCTGCCTTCCCGCCTCCCTCTCCTTCTCCCGCTCTCCTAGCATTGCTCATCCACCCATAGCATCCGCAAAACCCCCTTCCTGCCATCTTCTTTCCTCACCTTACGTGCTCTCTACTTCTCTCCTTCCCTTCTCATCCTCCTGGTCCTCCCGCGAGCTCACTGACCCTCTCCTAGGCACTCCTTCCTGTGCCATGTGGATCTCGACAAGCAGCAGCAGCAGCAGCAGCAGCAGCATGCAGCCGCACAGGAGGAGGCTGCTCCCTCCAAGAACTCACAGGTAATGGCCAAACATAGGAGGTCGAGGAGAACGAGGTGGACGAGGACGAGGAGGACGAGGAGGATGAGGATGAGGACGAGGAGAAGCAGGCTGATTTTGTTGCTGCAGAAGTCAAGAAAGCGCAATAGGTCGGACTACGAGCATGGGGATAGAGAAGGAGACTACGGGCACCTCGACAACTTTAAGATCATCAGGAAATACGGACCTCTGCTGTCAGCCGAATTCCTCAGGTTCGCAGCATTTCTCCCGTCGCCTTGTTCCTTCTTGATCAACAATACGGGCAACACGTGCTCCTGCTCCTGCTCCTGCTCCTGCTCCTGCTCCTGCTCCTGCTCCTGCTCCTGCTCCTGCTCCTGCGTATCTCAACTAACGAAATTCTTTCTTGCAACACAGCGGTCACAATCTTCTATTGGTGGAAAGGTGATGGACCCCCTTGCTCCTCCTCTTGTCTCATGCTGCTGCAGGCCCTGGCTGCAAGTTCTTCCTCGTCTGGGAGGTACCCTAGCAAGGAAGCGATTCGGAAAGTAGAGAAAATGGAGAAGCTGTTTAAATACTAGGAATGAAAAGCATCAATGTCCTTCTTTCCTTTCTTCTTTTCCTTCTTCTCTCTCATTGGCTCAAAGCTACAACTACACGTCTTCGCTCGCTCGCTCTCACGTACGGTAACTTGTATCAGTAGAGGAGCAGAACAAGTGTCAGCTATCATCCTTCCACACCTCACTCTCCTCCCGCCGTCTCGAAGTCATACGAACTCTGGAGCTTCTCAGACCTCTTGGGGAATTTTGGGCCGGGCCGTCGAGGAGACAGCAAGCCTCCGTCCTCCCCTCCCTCCGTCCCCTCCCCGAGCCCAAAGATCGCCTTCAGCTCCAGCTCCGTGTCCAGCTCCAGCTGGAAAGAGGCTCGAGGCTTACTGGAGGCCCTTCTGAATTGATGGCCCCAGCGGGGAGGGGAGGAGAAGCTTGAATCCTCATGTCCTCCCGCAAACATCGGAGACTCAGCTCGAGCCATTGGGCTGCTTGTCTCCGATCCCGACCCTCCTCCCTCAGTCTCGCATTTGCGCAGGAACCTGATCCACTTCTGGGTCTGAACGTCATCGTCCCCGACCTCCTGCCGGCGGATGTTGAGCGCGAGCTCCAGGATCCTCTTGGCGTCGACGAAGTTGAAGTTCTCGTAGTGCGTCAGCCCGATCTGAGTGTACACGGTCGAGAGCTCCAGGCGCGAGATGTGCGGTACCATTTCAGGAGGAGGCCACTCAACCTGCGAGCCCCCATGAAGGCTCTCGATGATGCTGATGGCTCGGTTGAGGGTGTCGAGAGCGATGTATGACTCGTAGCCGTTCCTCTTCCTCCTCTGCAGCCCTCCCAGCTCGATGAGCTTCAGCGCCAGCTCCGTCATGGCTGCCCTCAGCTTCTCCCTCACCTCAGTCGCGTTTACGTCGACGTTTCCAAGCATCCTCTTGATCTCGACCTTGGCTTGCAGCAGCTCTTGTTTCGTCCTTTTCAGGTCAGCATCGACTGCGTACTTGGCTTCCTGCCACTGGCTCACCCGACTCTTCTGCTCGAAGATCTCGTCCTGCAGGATTTTCACGTGCGCTTCGAACGCGCTGGCGATCTGCTGGAGGTCGGAGAAATGGTTCAGCTTCTCTGTTTCTATCTGGTAGCTCCTGGAGAATCTGCTCCTCTTCGTCTCCACCCCATGGTACTCAATGAAGATCGACAGCGGGTCTGAGCACATGGAGTCCACTTTCTCCTTGAGCTCCATGATCTGCCTTCGCTGCGACTCGATCAGCGTCAGCCCGGGGTCAATCTGCTTCTTCGTCTTGCGCTCCTCACTGATGATCTGACGGCAAGTAGCCACCTCCTTCTGAATGTTGCGGTACTTGCTGAGGAGGGTCTGATACCTGCTGTCCTCCAAGACCTTGTTCTCATGGTTCTTCTTCATCTCGACGTCACGCCCGAACCTTGATTTCGATCTCTCGCTGTTGAACTCCAGCATCTTGTCTCTCAGCTCAATCTCTCCCTTCAGCTCCACAATCTCACGCTGCAGCTCTATGATCTCGAGCTTCGCGTCGTTGAAGTTGAGTTGTGCTTCTATGAGCTGCTCGCTCACCGACTTCTCAGCTCTGCTCTGCTCACTGATGGCTTCAAGAACCTGCGCTGACTTTGCCATGGCAAGCTCTTCCTTCAAGCTCAAGATCTTCGACTCGTACATCTGAAACCTCTCCACAACCTCAGCAGAGATCGAGCTCGGAAAAGAAGAAGCGTCCGGCAGGTGGTTGTGACTGTTACTCTTGACCAAGAACTTGGGCGTCTGTTGATGTTGTGCTGGGGTCTGCTGGACTTTGAACTTGAGGTCATGGATTTCATCCTGAAGTTCAGAATTTCTCAATCTCAGCTCTTCGAGTTCGTTGTTGAGCTCTTGGATTTTCTGTGACGTCTCTGAATTCTGGGCGACAGTGTCTTTGTTCCGCTCAGTGAAGCCTTTGAGCACGGAGAGAACTTGATTCCGCTTGACCTCTGGCTTGCGGCTCTTCCCAGGTGATGCTGGTCCAACTCTCCTCGTCGGTCTGGGAGTCAGAGGCTCAACTCTCACCTTGTCCTCGCTCCTGGCTGAGATGGGAGGCTGAGCAAAGCTCTGGCTGATCACAGCATCCATCCTCTCGGGCTTGTTGGAGAGGATCTTGAGGTTCTCGATCTGAAGGTCCTTCTCGAAGATCTTCTTCCTCGCGTCAAACAGCTCCGCTGTCAGCACAGCTATCCGCCTCCTCCTCGAGTCTAAGAGCCTGCTCATCTCCCCCATCCTAATCTTTGTAATGGTTGAGTCTTTGACGAGACCGCTGTCGTCCTCCACAACGTTGTTAGGATCCGAGGGATCAAACTCGGTTGACGCGTCTCCGTAAGAATAATCTAGAAACGACTCCTCCTCCCTCTCAGCTCTCCTGTTTTGTTGCTGTGGAGATATAAAAGTCCGAGCAGAGTGTGCTCGCTGAACGCCGGGCGCGCGAGTGCGGGAGGAAGGATGGGGTGAATGGTTCGAATTCATTTTCACCCTCTTGACAGGCATCAGTGCTTTAGGAAGCCTCAGGTCCTGCTAAGCAACTTGGAGCAACAGTGAAGATATTACAGATATGCTGCGATGTAGTTCAGACTTTCTGTTCCTTCACAGGGATTTCTAGTCAGCTCAGATGTTTGTGTTCATCTATCAGGTTGTTCTTTGCATCTTTCTCTTTCTGTCATCTTCGCGCATTCCGAGCCACTTCCCCTCCTTCAAGGCTCATCAACTAGCCGCGTGCGGTGCATCGCCGTTGGTTCTTAGGGCCAATACTGCCAAACACCCACCCCCTTTCTCCCCACCCTACCCCCATCCTAGCAAGGTCCGAAGATGAGCTACCCTCTCAAAGTTCAATCTCAGGGGGTCGTATCAACATTCTGGTACTGCGAGGCTGACTCAAAAGTACCACTGGGGCTGCCTTGGAACTTTAATATTATTATTGAACCACCCCTACCCCCTGAGCTCATGGCCTCGGAAGTGTCGAGGGGTCACCGTCCACGACAAGGCTGATTTACTGAGTTCAAGTGCTGAGGGCCACCCGGCGGGCGCGGCCCGGCGGCGGCGGGCCGCCGCCCGGCCGCCCGGCGGGCGGGCCCGTGCAGCAGCACCGGACCATCAAGCTAGCTGATGACTAAAGTAAAAATCCGGAGCATGCAAGGTGACGACGAGCTGGGGGGGGATGAGGGAAACAGAGAAGTTGGAAGAAGAGAGCGATGATGAGGCAGGATAGAAGGGAGTGTGTAAAGATGGAACTGGCAGGAGTGGACAGAGAGAGGGAAACAGACGCGATGTCAAACATTGATCCATGTCGGCAGGAGCTCTAAGGCTGGCATGTAGTCACATGTAACGAGGAGGAGAAGGCGACATGGTGAAGTATCTCAAAGCCCTGATGCTTGGGATGCTGGTCGTGATCCCCCCAGCTGTGGTGTACTACCAGACCGTGCTCAGTGGCACCTTGGCCTCCCCCATCCTCGAGGCGAAGGCCAGTCACTTAGGAAAGATGCGCACTGAACCAGAGCCTTCAAGACGTCGACGAAGATGGGTGGTCGGTCTCCAACGATGGTGTAACCGTCAGTTCTGACCTGCCATGGACAGGACGAGAGTGGATCTCTGCACCAGGAGCTCGTTGACCTCAGCGAGTTCTTGAAGGGCAAGGCACGAACGCTGCCTCCTAGGGTGGCTAAAGTTTGTGGCATGCAAGATGAGCAGAGGCAGCTGTTCAAGGTTGGGCGGGAGGACATGCGGAGTTGGCATGACGCTGGAGCAGGAGATGGAGTACAATGTTGGATCCATACCTGGCTACGGAGAGTTTAAGCATGTCGGTAAGAGCCAGCTGCTATACTTGTGCTGCTACTTGTGCTGCTACTCATGCTGCCCCCGAACCCGAATCCGCCATCGCTCCTCCTCCTCCTCCTCCTCAGCTTCTCTTCTTGCCCCTCCTCCTTGGATTTGGTGGTTTCTTGACACCTACATGTCAGAGCGAGAGGAGAAGCACGTGAAATATCTATTGAGCCTCCACAACCCCCAGGAAGACGCGGTTGTGAGCAAGGGGATCTTGATGCATCTGTTTAGCCCTGAAGGAACCTATCCAAGGTGTTCTGTGTGCTAGTGTGGGGGCGAGAGAAGGGATGAGAACCTGGAAGATAGTGTGGATAGAGGAAGAGAGGAAGCAGTAGAGACAGCGAAAAAGAGGAAAGGGAGAGAAGGAGGAGCGGATGGGACGAGAAAGATGACGAAATTTCCTCAGTGTGACTGAAGTCCATGCCCTTTGCGACGGCGTTCCGTCCTTGGGACCCCAAGGCAGCAGAGGCGAGGAAGAGGATGAGAAAGGAACAACAAAGAGGAGCTCATTGATCAGCTGCAGTCCAGGTTACTCATCAATGTTGTCTTCGCCATGAATATCTCCTCCTCAGCACCCGTGTTTGAACTCTGCTTCTCTTCCTGAACTTACTGCTGGCTCTGCTGCATTGAATGACTCGCTTCTGCCTGTTGTCTGCTTCTTTACGATCTGCTACAGGGAAGACGGCAGTGGAGGTTGGGAGCTCCATCGGCATGATCAGTATGTACTTGGCAGCGAGAGGGATGAAGGTGCACGCGCTTGATCCAGTTCAACCGAATCTTCAGGTTGAGGAGGAGGAGGAGGAGGAGGAGGAGGAGGAGGAGGAGGAGGAGGAGGAGGAGGAGGAGGAGGAGGAGGAGGAGGAGGAGGAGGAGGAGGAGGAGGAGGAGGAGGAGGAGGAGG